TTAATATATTACTAGTCCCGCCTGATCAATATATTACTAGTCCCGCCTGATCAATATATTACTAGTCACGCTTGATCAATATATTACTAGTCCCGCCTGATTAATATATTACTAGTCCCGCCTGATTAATATATTACTAGTCCAGCCTGATTAATATATTATTAGTCCCGCCTGATCAATATATTACTAGTCCCGCCTGATTAATATATTACTAGTCCCGCCTGATCAATATATTACTAGTCCCGCCTGATCAATATATTACTAGTCCCGCTGATCAATATATTACTAGTCCCGCCTGATCAATATATTACTAGTCCCGCCTGATCAATATATTACTAGTCCCGCCTGATTAATATATTACTAGTCCCGCCTGATTAATATATTACTAGTCCCGCCTGATTAATATATTACTAGTCCCGCCTGATCAATATATTACTAGTCCGCCTGATCAATATATTACTAGTCCCGCCTGATCAATATATTACTAGTCCGCCTGATCAATATATTACTAGTCCCGCCTGATCAATATATTACTAGTCCCGCCTGATTAATATATTACTAGTCCCGCCTGATCAATATATTGCTAGTCCCGCCTGAACAATATATTACTAGTCCCGCGTGATCAATATATTACTAGTCCCGCCTGATCAATATATTACTAGTCCCGCCTGATCAATATATTACTAGTCCCGCCTGATCAATATATTACTAGTCCCGCCTGATCAATATATTACTAGTCCCGCCTGATTAATATATTACTAGTCCCGCCTGATTAATATATTACTAGTCCCGCCTGATTAATATATTACTAGTCCCGCCTGATCAATATATTACTAGTCCCGCCTGATTAATATATTACTAGTCCCGCCTGTATTAATATATTACTAGTCCCGCCTGATCAATATATTACTAGTCCCGCCTGATTAATATATTACTAGTCCCGCCTGATTAATATATTACTGGTCCCGCCTGATCAATATATTACTAGTCCCGCCTGATTAATATATTACTAGTCCCGCCTGATTAATATATTACTAGTCCCGCCTGATCAATATATACTAGTCCCGCCTGATTAATATATTACTAGTCCCGCCTGATTAATATATTACTAGTCCCGCCTGATTAATATATTACTAGTCCCGCCTGATCAATATATTACTAGTCCCGCCTGATCAATATATTACTAGTCCCGCCTGATCAATATATTACTAGTCCCGCCTGATCAATATATTACTAGTCCCGCCCTGATCAATATATTACTAGTCCCGCCTGATTAATATATTACTAGTCCCGCCTGATTAATATATTACTAGTCCCGCCTGATTAATATATTACTAGTCCCCGCCTGATCAATATATTACTAGTCCGCCTGATCAATATATTACTAGTCCCGCCTGATCAATATATTACTAGTCCCGCCTGATCAATATATTACTAGTCCCGCCTGATCAATATATTACTAGTCCCGCCTGATTAATATATTACTAGTCCCGCCTGATCAATATATTACTAGTCCCGCCTGATCAATATATTACTAGTCCCGCCTGATCAATATATTACTAGTCCCGCCTGATCAATATATTAACTAGTCCCGCCTGATCAATATATTACTAGTCCCGCCTGATCAATATATTACTAGTCCCGCCTGATCAATATATTACTAGTCCCGCCTGATTGATATATTACTAGTCCCGCCTGATTAATATATTACTAGTCCCGCCTGATTAATATATTACTAGTCCCGCCTGATCAATATATTACTAGTCCCGCCTGATTAATATATTACTAGTCCCGCCTGATTAATATATTACTAGTCCCGCCTGATCAATATATTACTAGTCCCGCCTGATTAATATATTACTAGTCCCGCCTGATTAATATATTACTGGTCCCGCCTGATCAATATATTACTAGTCCCGCCTGATTAATATATTACTAGTCCCGCCTGATTAATATATTACTAGTCCCGCCTGATCAATATATTACTAGTCCCGCCTGATTAATATATTACTAGTCCGCCTGATTAATATATTACTAGTCCCGCCTGATCAATATATTACTAGTCCCGCCTGATTAATATATTACTAGTCCCGCCTGATTAATATATTACTAGTCCCGCCTGATCAATATATTACTAGTCCCGCCTGATCAATATATTACTAGTCCCGCCTGATTAATATATTACTAGTCCCGCCTGATCAATATATTACTAGTCCCGCCTGATCAATATATTACTAGTCCCGCCTGATCAATATATTACTAGTCCCGCCTGATCAATGGAGAATCAAATTGATCATAAACTAGTGCCAGATATGCACCTCAAAATTACCCTAAAATCACTGCAATATCAGTGACCAAAAAATATAATAATAATAATAATTATTATGATTATTATTATTATTATTATATATTATTATTATTATTATTATTATTATTATTATTATTATTATTTATTATTATTATTATTATTATTGTTGTTATTATTATTATTATTATTATTATTATTATTATTGTTATTATTATTATTATTATTATTATTATTATTATTATTATTATTATTATTATTTATATTCTTATTATTATTATTACTGGTAGCAGTAGTAACTTATAGAGTGAGCTGGTACTTACAGAGTGAGCTGGAACTTAGAGTGAGCTGGAACTTACAGAGTGAACTGGAACTTACAGAGTGAGCTGGAACTTACAGAGTGAACTGGAACTTACAGAGTGAGCTGGAACTTACAGAGTGAGCTGGAACTTACAGAGTGAGCTGGAACTTACAGAGTGAGCTGGAACTTACAGAGTGAGCTGGAACTTATTGAGTGAGCTGGAACTTACAGAGTGAGCTGGAACTTACAGAGTGAGCTGGAACTTACAGAGTGAGCTGGAACTTACAGAGTGAGCTGGAACTTACAGAGTGAGCTGGAACTTACAGAGTGAGCTGGAACTTACAGAGTGAGCTGGAACGTACAGAGTGAGCTGGAACTTACAGAGTGAGCTGGAACTTACAGAGTGAGCTGGAACTTATTGAGTGAGCTGGAACTTACAGAGTGAGCTGGAACTTACAGAGTGAGCTGGAACTTACAGAGTGAGCTGGAACTTATTGAGTGAGCTGGAACTTACAGAGTGAGCTGGAACTACAGAGTGAGCTGGAACTTATAGAATGAGCTGGAACTTACAGAGTGAGCTGGAACTTATAGAGTGAGCTAGAACTTACAGAGTGAGCTGGAACTTACAGAGTGAGCTGGAACTTACAGAGTGAGCTAGAACTTATAGAGTGAGCTGGAACTTACAGAGTGAGCTGGAACTTACAGAGTGAGCTGGAACTTATAGAATGAGCTGGAACTTACAGAGTGAGCTGGAACTTACAGAGTGAGCTGGAACTAACAGAGTGAGCTGGAACTTACAGAGTGAGCTGGAACTTACAGAGTGAGCTGGAACTTACAGAGTGAGCTGGAACTAACAGAGTGAGCTGGAACTTACAGAGTGAGCTGGAACTTACAGAGTGAGCTGGAACTTACAGAGTGAGCTGGAACTTATAGAGTGAGCTGGAACTTACAGAGTGAGCTAGAACTTACAGAGTGAGCTGGAACTTACAGAGTGAGCTGAAACTTACAGAGTGAGCTGGAACTTATAGAGTGAGCTGGAACTTACAGAGTGAGCTGGAACTTACAGAGTGAGCTGGAACTTACAGAGTGAGCTGGAACTTACAGACTGAGCTGGAACTTACAGAGTGAGCTGGAACTTACAGAGTGAGCTGGAACTTATAGAGTGAGCTGGAACTTACAAAGTCAGCTGGAACTTACAGAGTGAGCTGGAACTTACAGAGTGAGCTGGAACTTACAGAGTGAGCTGGAACTTACAGAATGAGCTGGAACTTACAGAGTGAGCTGGAACTTACAGAGTGAGCTGGGACTTACAGAGTGAGCTGGAACTTACAGAATGAGCTGGAACTTACAGAGTGAGCTGGAACTTACAGAGTGAGCTGGAACTTACAGAGTGAGCTGGAACTTACAGAGTGAGCTGGAACTTACAGAATGAGATGGAACTTACAGAGTGAGCTGGAACTTACAGAGTGAGCTGGAACTTACAGAGTGAACTGGAACTTACAGAGTGAGCTGGAACTTACAGAATGAGCTGGAACTTACAGAGTGAGCTGGAACTTACAGAGTGAGCTGGAACTTACAGAGTGAGCTGGAACTTACAGAGTGAGCTGGAACTTACAGAGTGAGCTGGAACTTACAGACTGAGCTGGAACTTACAGAGTGAGCTGGAACTTACAGAGTGAGCTGGGACTTACAGAGTGAGCTGGAACTTACAGAGTGAGCTGGAACTTATAGAGTGAGCTGGAACTTACAGAGTGAGCTGGAACTTACAGAGTTAGCTGGAACTTACAGAGTGAGCTGGAACTTACAGAGTGAGCTGGAACTTACAGAGTGAGCTGGAACTTACAGAGTGAGCTGGAACTTATAGAGTGAGCTGAAACTTACAGAGTGAGCTGGAACTTACAGAGTGAGCTGGAACTTACAGAGTGAGCTGGAACTTACAGAGTGAGCTGGAACTTACAGAGTGAGCTGGAACTTACAGAGTGAGCTGGAACTTACAGAGTGAGCTGGAACTTACAGAGTGAGCTGGAACTTACAGAGTGAGCTGGAAGTTACAGAGTGAGCTGGAACTTACAGAGTGAGCTGGAACTTATAGAGTGAGCTGGAACTTACAAAGTCAGCTGGAACTTACAGAGTTAGCTAGAACTTACAGAGTGAGCTGGAACTTATAGAGTGAGCTGGAACTTACAGAGTGAGCTGGAACTTACAGAGTGAGCTGGAACTTACAGAGTGAGCTGGAACTTACAGAGTGAGCTGGAACTTACAGAGTGAGCTGGAACTTACAGAGTGAGCTGGAACTTACAGAGTGAGCTGGAACTTACAGAGTGAGCTGGAACTTATAGAGTGAGCTGGAACTTACAGAGTGAGCTGGAACTTACAGAGTGAGCTGGAACTTACAGAGTGAGCTGGTCGGTCATTGATGAGCCAGGAGACACGAGGGATGTACTCAGTGTTCATGGTGGTACAGTTGAGTGCCACGTACTCTAAGGTTGAGTACGCTTCCTCAGTGCCAGCCAGGAGTGGAGGTTGAAGAGGCTCGGCTGTAAGGAGAAGCAGAGGGAGAGAGCCTTTAGCTTCATATCTATTATGAATTGTGGAATTGGATGCATGTGGTTAATGAGGTGGGTATTGTGATTAATGAGGTGGGTATTGTGATTAATGAGGTGGGTATTGTGGTTAATGAGGTGGGTATTGTGGTTAATGAGGTGGGTATTGTGGTTAATGAGGTGGGTATTGTGGTTAATGGGGTGGAATTTTGGTTAATGATGTGGGTATTGTGGTTAATGGGGTGGGCATTGTGGTTAATGAGGTGGGTATTGTGGTTAATGAGGTGGTATTGTGGTTAATGAGGTGGGTATTGTGGTTAATGGGGTGGCAGTGTGGTTAAGTTTACATGGGTATTATGAATAATTGGATGGGCATTGTGGTTAATGGTATGGGTATTGTGGTTAATGGGGCGGGTATTGTGGTTAATTGGGTGGGTATTTTGGTTAATGGGGCGGGTATTGTGGTTAATGGGGCGGGTATTGTGGTTAACGGGGCTGGTATTATGGTTAATGGGGCTGGCATTGTGGTTAATGGGGTGGGTATTGCGGTTATTGGGGCAGTTATTGCGGTTAATGGGGTGGGTATTGTGGTTAATGGGGTGGGTATTGTGGTTAATACGATGGGTACGAAATCCTTCGATGTTTTATTCCGTCACATTATACCTACCTAGTTAACACCTCCTCCAGTGTCATATTTGTTATGGTGAATTATCCTCAGATAAATGTAAGTAAACTTTATATTTGAGAGAGAGAGAGAGAGAGAGAGAGAGGAATGGGAGGATGTTGGCACCTGGAGAAGAAGTTGATATCCTTGGGGTGAAATTTGACTCCAAGCTAACCATGAAGAACCATGTTGTAAATCTTGCAAACAAGGCAGCCAGGAAGCTTACAGCACTTCGCCGTATCTCCCATCTGCTTGACAGTAGGGGTTGCAAGATCCTGTACGAGGCACAAGTACGCTCACACCTTGAGTATGCTCCACTTTCCTGGTTTGCCTGCCCCCCCTCTCATCTGCGACTGCTTGACAGAGTAGAGAACAGAGCAAGACGTCTCATCTCTCGCCTGGACCCATCCTGGATAGATCTGTCATTTCAGCAGCAACTTCACTCTGGCTGTACCCTTCTCCAGAACATCACTCCATCTGAGATCATACATACCCAGGATGACTCGAGTATGGAACACATTCGTACAGCATAATGATGTCAACGAGATAACGTCAGTTGATCAAATGAAAATGCTGGCCCACAGATGGCTCACAGCTGGCCCACAGATGGTTCACAGCTGGCCCACAGATGGTTCACAGCTGGCCCACAGATGGTTCACAGTCTGGCCCACAGGAATGGCTCCAATTCATCCTGTTCCGTACTTGTATGTTCATAACATAAAAATGCTTTCAAATGAGCTGATTGTAGGTAACAGCTTCTTAGTCTTCCCAATAAAGTTAGGATCCTTAACCTGTTAATATAGCTGTCAATAAAATAGGGATCCATACCGTGTCAAACCCTTGTGTAAAAAAAAAAAAATGAGATGAGCGGGATGAGAGAGAGAGAGATGAGAGAGGAAGAGAGAGAGACGGAGGAGAGTGAGGACGATAGGAACGAGAGAGTGGAAGAGAGAGTGGAGGAGAGAGAGTGAAGAGAGAGAGAGAGAGAGAGATTGAGAGAGACAGACATGAGAGACAGACAGAGAGACAGACAGACAGACAGACAGACAGACAGACAGACAGACAGACAGACAGAGAGACAAACACAATAACGAAATCATATATATATTTTAGCATTAATAAACTGAAGGCTAAATAGATACACATTCTCTCTCTGTCTCTCTCTTCTCTGTCTCTGTCTCTGTCTCTCTGTCTCTCTCTCTGTCTGTCTCTGTCTCTCTGTCATAGATAAAGAGAGTATAAAGAGTAAGTTAAGGAAGGCACTTAGAGCGCCTGACAGGCACCCGTGTGGGCAACTTGCCTCAGCACTGACCCAAATTAAGGCAACTAATGCAACAATGAATTTGATACGTCATTATGCAACGTTGAAAAGAAGAAGGAAGAGGGAGGGAAGGAGGGAGGGAAGGAGGGTGGGAAGGAGGGTGGGAGGAGGGAGGGTAGGAGGGAGGGAAGGAGGGTGGGAAGGAGGGAGGGAAGGAGGGAGGGAAGGAGGGTGGGAAGGAAGGAGGGTGGGGGAGACGGAGGGAGGAGAGAGAGGGTGGAGGAGGGAAGATGGGTGTGGGAAGGGGGGTGGGAAGGAGGGATGGGAAGGAGGGAGGGAAGAGGAAGGGAGGAGGGAGGGGGAAGGAAGGGAGGGGAAGGAGGGTGGGAAGGAGGGTGGGAAGGAGAGAGGGGAAGGAGGGAGGGAAGGAGGAAGGGAAGGAGGGAGGGAAGGGAGGGAGGGAAGGAGGGAGGGAAAGGGGAAGGGAGGAGGGTGGGAAGGAGGAAGGGAAGAGGGAGGGAAGGAGGAGGGAAGGGAGGGAGGGAAGGAGGGTGGGAGGAAGGGGGGAGGGAGGGTGGGAAGGAGGGTGGGAAGGAGGGTGGGGAAGGAGGGAGGAAAGGGGGAGGGAAGGAGGATGGAAGGAGGGTGGGAAGGTGGGAGGGAAGGAGGGTGCGGAAAGGTGGGGTGGGAAGGAGGGAGGGAAGGTGGGAGGGATGGAGGAAGGGTAAGGGAGGGAGGGTAGGTGGGTGGATGGAGGGTGGGAAGGAGGGTGGAAATGGAGGGAGGGTAGGTGGGTAGGGAAGGAGGATGGGAAGGAGGGGGGGTGGTAGGGAGGGATGGAGGGTGGGGTTGGTGTGAGGGTGTGTAGGAGGGATGGGAGGTGGAAGGAGGGTGGGTAGGTGGGTGGCGAAGTGGGAGGGAAGGAGCGAAGGGTAAGGAGGTAGGGATGGGAGGGTGGGAAGGAGGGAGGGAAGGTGGGTGGGAAGGAGGGTGGGAAGGAAGGAGGGATGGAGGAGGGAGGGAAGGAGGTTGGGATGGAGGGTGGAAAGGAGGAGGAAGGTGCGGGAGGGAAGTGAGGAGGGATGGAGGGTGGGAAGGGGGAGGGAAGTGGAGGGAAGGAGGGTGGGAAGGGAGGGTGGGAAGGAGGGAGGGATGAGTGGGTGGGAGGGAAGGAGGGTGGGAAAGGAGGAGTGGGAAGGAGGGAGGAAGGAGGAGGGAGTGAGGTAAGGGGAAGGAGGGAGGTAGGAGGGAGGGTAGGGAGGGTGGGATGGAGGGTGGGAAGGAGGGGAGGGAAGGAGGGAGGGAAGGAGGAAGGGAAGGAGGAGGGAAGCGACGGGAGGGAAGGAGGGAGGGAAGGAGGAAGGGAGGAGGAGGAAGGAGGAAAGGGAAGGAGGGAAGGAAGGAGGGGGAAGGAGGGAGGGAAGGAGGGGATGGGTGGGAAGGAGGGAGGAGGGAGGGAAAGGAGGGTGGGATGGAGGTGTGGGAAGGAGCGGAGGGAAGGAGGGACAGGGAAGGAGGAAGGAAGGAGGGAGGGAAGGAGGGAGGGAAGGAGGGTGGGAGGGAGGAGGGTGGGAAGGAGGGAGGTGAAGGAGGGAGGGAAGGAGGAAGGGAAGGAGGGAGGGAAGGAGGGAGGGTAAAGGAGGGTGGGATGGAGGGTGGGAAGAGGGAGGGAAGGAGGAAGGGAAGAGGAGGGAAGGAGGGTGGGAGGAGGGAGGGAAGGAGGGCAGGGAAGGATGGGAGGGAGGGAGTTGGTTGGGAGGAGGGAGGGAAGGAGGGTGGGGAAGGAGGAGGTGGGAAGGAGGGAGGGATGGAGGGTGGTAGGGAGGAAGGGAAGGAGGGTGGAAAGGAGGGGGGAAGGAGGGTGGATGGAGGGTGGGAAGGAGGGAGGAATGTGTAGGAGGGAGGAAGGAGGAAAGGGATGGAGAGCTTGGGAAGGAGGTGAGGGAAGGACGGGAGGGAAGGAGGATAGGGTAAGAGAGGGAGGGATGGAGGGGAGGGATGGAAGGAGGGTGGAGGAGGGTGGAAGAGGGTGGGAAAAGGGTGGGAAGGAAGGAAGGGAAGTTGGGAGGGAGGAAGGAGGCTGAGGGAAGGAGGGTGGGAAGGAGGGAGGGAAGGAGGGAGGAAGGAGGGAGGGAAGGAGGAAGGGAAGGAGGGAGGGAAGGAGAGGAGGGAAGGAGGGTGGGAAGGAGGGTGGGATGGAGGGAGGGGAAGGAGGGAGGGAAGGAGGAAGGGAAGGAGGGTGGAAGGAGGGAGGGAAGGAGGGAGGATAGGAAGGGAGGGAAGGTGGGAGGGACGGGAAGGAGGGAGGGAGGGAGGGAAGGGAGGGTGGGGATGGAGGGTGGGAAGGATGGGAGGGAGGAGGGAGGGAGGGAAGGAGGGAGGGAAGGAGGGGAAAGGAAGGGTGGGAAGGGTAGGGAGGGAGGGAGGGAAGGAGGGAGGGAGGGACGGGGGAAGGAGGGTGGGAAGGAGGGTGGAAGGAGGAGGGAAGGAGGGAGGGAAGGAAGGAGGGGGAGGGAGGGAGGGAAGGAGGTGGGAAGGAGGGAGGGAGGGAAGGAGGTGACGGGAGGGAGGGAAGGGGGTGGGAAGGAGGGTGGGAAGGAGGGAGGGAGTGATGGGAGGGAGGGAAGGAGGGAGGAGGGAAGGAGGGAGGGCGGGAGGGAAGGAGGGATGGTGAAGGAGGGAGGGAGGGAAAGGAGAGAGGGAGGAGGGAAGGGAGGGTGGGAAGGGTGGGTGTGGGAAGGAGGGAGGGAAGGAGGGAGGGAGGGAAGGTGGGAGGGAGGGAGGGAAGGAGGGGGGGGGAAGGAGGGTCGGGAAGGTGGGAAGGGAAGGAGGGAGGGAAGGAGGGGAGGGAAGGAGGAAGGGAAGGAGGAGGGGAAGGAGTGGAAGGGAAGGAGGGTGGGAAGGCAGGGTGGGATGGGGGAGGGAAGGAGGGAGGAGGGAAGGAGGAAAGGGAAGGGAGGGTGGGATAGGAGGGAGGGAAGGGAGGGAGGAAGGGGAAGGTAGGAGGGAGGGAAGGAGGGAGGAAGGAGGGTGGAAGGAAGGTGTGTGAATGGAGGGAGGGAAAGAGGGAGGGGAAGGAGGAAGGAAGGAGGGATGGGAAGGAGGGAGGGAAGGAGCGGGTGGGAAGAGAGGGTGGGAATTAGGGAGGGAAGGAGGGAGGGGCAGGAGGGAGGAAGGAGGAAGGGAAGGAGGGAGGGAAGAGGGAGGGAAGGAGGGAGGAAGGAGGGAGGGAAGGAGGAAGGGGAAGGAGGGAGGGAGGAGGGAGGGGAAGAGAGGGGTGAGGAAGGAGGGGAGGGAAGGAGGGAG